TACACATTCCATATAAATCTTGATTTTCCCTAAAATTTTCTAATTTTGGTAAAAACCTAAATTTTATTTTGTCACATCTTATATCCAATAAAATCAAACTTCCACCATGCTATTTTACAGTAGACAAAAAATTTATATTCCAGTAAAAAAATGAATGAAGGTATTTTTTTCTTACACAGAAAATAACTATTATAAAAATATGTAGTAGTAAAAGGATTTTTACATTGTAATTTAATATTGCTTTGTAATAAAATAATTAGCTAAATTCTATAAAGGTAAATAAATATTTCACAAAATAAAATTTATTAAAACATCATCTAATTAAATAATTTATTTTTTATAATAACCAGGGAGTAAGTATTATATTATAAATTAACTTTTACAACACAAAATAAACTTTATCTTCAACATCATCTAATTAAATAAAATTTATTTTTTATTTCTTTATAATCAGAGAGTAAGTATTATACTATAAATTAACTTTCACAATACAAAATAAAATTTATTAGCATCATCTAATTAAATAAATTTTTTTTATTTCTTTATAATAACCAGAGAGTAAGTATTAAACTATAAATTAACTTTTACAATACTAAATAAAACTTTATTAAAACATCATCTAATTAAATAATTTTGTTTTTTTATTTCATAGTTTGTAAGTATTATATTATAAATTAACTTTTACAACACAAAATAAACTTTATCTTCAACATCATCCAATTAAATAAATTTATTTTTTATAATAACCAGGGAGTAAGTATTATATTATAAATCAACTTTTACAACACAAAATAAACTTTATCTTCAACATCATCTAAATAAATAAATTTATTTTTTATTCTTTATAATAACCAGATTGTAAGTATTATATTATAAATCAACTTTTACAACACAAAATAAAACATCATCTAATTAAATAAATTTATTTTTTATTTCTTTATAATAACCAGCATGTAAGCAACTTTTTACAAACTAAATATTATTAAAACATTGACTAATTAAATAAATACAATTTTTACTTTTTTTATAACCAGATTGTAAGTATTATGCTTTCATACATAACATAAAATAAATTTTATTAAAACATCAACTAAATAAATTTATTTTTATTTTTTTGCAATAACCAGCTGGTAAGCATTTTATTGTATTATAAATCAACTTTTATAATTTTTATATCTAATCAATAAGTTTATTTTTTATTATAATAACCAGCTGGTAAGTAATATATTATAAATTAACACAAAATAAATTTTATTAAAACATTGTCTAATAATAAATTTTTATAATAATCAGGAAGTAAGTATCATATCATAAACTTTTACAAATAATTTTTATTAAAACATCAACTAATTAATAAATTTATTTTTCTTTATGATAACCAGCATGTAAGTAATTTTTACAGTATAAAACAAATTTTCATAGCATCATCTAATTAAATATTTCTTATTTCTTCATAATAACAGCTGGTAAATGTTATGTTATATTATATATAAAATAACTTTTATAATTTTATCAAAACCTTGTCTAAATATATAAATTTATTTTTTGTGTATTATAATAATTATAACTGAAGGTAAAATAATAATTTATAAATTTAATTTTTTTATAACTTTTAATTAAGTTGAAAAATAAATTTATTTTGTTTTTATGAAATAATAAGATAACACCAAGGGGTTTATAAAATGGAAGGGAATCTGTTCTGTTTGTAGAAGATATAATACTAATTACCAGTGGTGTCAATCATGTGATCCCAAATTGTTAGCTCAAAGTT